ATGAAACTAATTGAGAGCATAGGGGAAACCCTTCAAGATATCAGAATAGGCGAAGAATTCCTGGAGAAGACCCCACAGGCACGGGTAATCAAAGATAAAATAAACAAATGGGATTACCTAAAATTGAAGAGTTTCTTAACAGCAAAGGAAACAGTCAGGAAAGTGAAGAGGCAACCAACAGAATGGGAGATGTGTCGCTCCCCGTCTTCGTGGAGGAACGACACAGGACCCTGCGCTGTTCTTTTGTCTGCTCGGCCCTCCCCGGGTTTGCTGCTGGTTCTTCCCGGGTTGGCTACCGACCCTTCCACCTCCGTGGAAGGGCGGTTCCCCCTGCCACATTCCCCACTTCCGCGGGGGAGCAGCACACTGCCGGCCGGCTCTCTCGGGGGCTGCACAGGTGTTCCTTCAGATGTTCCCCTTAGATGTTCCTGGTGCATGTTGTCTCTCTCCTCCTTTATAGTCCTCTTCCACCAATCCCAACTCTGCTACCCACACGCCGAGTACGCTGCTCTCCTCCAATCAGGAGCAGGATCAGCTCCTGGAGGTCATCACTCAAGTTGGCAAGAGGCAGCTGCGTAGAAGCTGTTTTCTCCTCTCCCAGCGCCATATTGTGGGAGAGCAGATGCATAGAATAAGTCCTAATTCCAGTAACTTAGTCCAGTCCGGATTGCTCCCCACAGAGATGTTATTCGCAAACCACACAACAGATAAAGGATTAACAACTAGAATCTACACAATGATCAAAAAACACCACAGAATCAAAACAAACAACCCAATAAAAAAATGGGCCAAGGACCTTAACAGGCATTTTTCAAAAGAGGAAATCCAAATGGCCAACAGGCACATGAAAAAATGCTCAGGATCCCTAGCCATCAGGGAAATGCAGATCAAAACCACAATGAGATACCACCTCACTCCGGTTAGATTGGCTTACATACAGAAATCAACCAACAACAGATGCTGGCGAGGATGTGGAGAAAAGGGGACACTAATCCACTGTTGGTGGGAATGCAAGCTGGTAAAGCCACTATGGAAGACAGTCTGGAGAGTCCTCAGAAACCTGAATATAGCACTACCACAGGACCCAGCCATCCCACTCCTTGGAATATACCCAAATGGAATTAAAGGGGTGAAAAAAGCCATTTGCACCTCAATATTTGTTGCAGCTCAATTCACAATAGCTAAGACATGGAATCAACCTAAATGTCCATCAACGGATGACTGGATAAAGAAACTATGGGATATGTACTGTATGGAACACTATACAGCGGTAAAAATCAACGAAATCCGGGCATTCACAACAAAATGGAGGAAGCTGGAAAACATCATGCTGAGTGAAATAAGCCAGTCCAAAAGGGATAAATATCACATGTTCTCCCTGATCGATGGCAACTAAACGAGCACCTAAAATGATACCCATTGAAGTGAAATGGACACTATGAGAGACAATGACATGAGCAGCCCTTGTCTAGACTGTTGAGGAAAAACTTACTATTTTGTTCCTTTAGTATTTTTGTTGTTGTTGTTGTTGCTCGGTATGCTCTACACAAGACCACTGGTTGAACTCTGCAATCAATGCACAACCATTCTTAAGCATTTAAAAATTAATAGGAAATTGATCTCTGTGGAACATGGGAGTGGGAATAAGAGAGGGAGGAGATATATAGGACGGCACATACTCACTCAGACCTACCTCCAATGGTGGAACTGGAAATGTGCCAGAAGATTTCAACTCAATCTTACCAAGGAGGCAGGTACCAATGCCAGCACACTTGGTAAAGAGACAAATATAAATACACAACTGATCCAAAAGATAGGGTAAGTGTCGAAGAGATTACACAAATAAGACCAGTGTAAGCAAATAATGAAAGATAGAATCAAAAGGGTTGAGAATGATCCTGCGGGGAAGCAGGTCACACAGCAGACTCATAGAATGGCAAATGCCCAAAACAGCACTCCTGCCTCAGAATCAACCCTTGGGACATTCGGATCTGACTAAAAGGTCCATGAGAGTCTCGCAGGCATGGAAAGCCATGACACGGTGGCAAAAAACAATCTAAATGAAGGATCCTGGTGATCCTGGATCAGGCCATCAAGGAGAGAGGCGCCTTTCTCTGAAGGGAGGAAGGAACCTCCACTGTGATATGGCCTTGACTAAACAAATTCAGAGTTGGTGAACTCAAGGGGCTTCCATAGCCTAGACAGCTCATAGCAAGAGTCTCGGGTGATTGCTGACGTCATAAATAAGAGTGCCAATTGTTAAATCCACAATGGGGAGTCCCCGGGGTTTCCTGCTCCCCCTCGCAGGATCTTCTGCCCTTAAATATTTTTTATTTATGAAACTCAAAAACAACCCTTCTAGTTGACCAATCCCTTATACCTTTTCCGGTTGTGGGAGTCCAACCTGTTGACTCCTTGCTTAGTATTTCCTAAAATGTTCTTCGTTATAGGAAAGTACCCAAAATTGAACCGTGATGAAGGGCCGGATGGGAGAGGAAGTGGGTAAGGGGAGGCCCACGGGAGGGGGGGAGGCCGGGGGGAAGCCACAACAATCCAAAAGATGCATTTTTTTTTCTACTTAAACCTATTGGTTGAGCTCTGTAATTAATACACAATTACTCTTAGGTGTTTAATCAATGCTATAACTAGTGGCATATAACTCTTAGGTGTTTAATCAATGCTATAACTAGTAGCATATAACTCAAATAGTATTTTACACTTTATGTTTCTGTGTGGGAGCAAAATGTGGTAATCTTTACTTAACATCCCCTAAATTGATCTTCTGTATATAAACATAATTGAAAATTAATTGTGATGTGAAGGGGAAGGGGAGAGGGAGTGGGAGAGGGGAGCGTTGTGGATGGGAGGGAAGACACGGGGGGGGGGGGAGGCTATTGTGGTCCATAAGCTGTACTTTGGAAATTTATGCTCATTAAATAAATAAAAAAAAACCAACCACAGGTCAGGTTATGTGAAATCCCAGCTGTGGACTATACACCACAGCCATAGGGAACCACGGCAGAGAACATGTAAGAGATGCCACATCCAATCCTTTGGATTCTGGCCCAAACTCCACAAGAAGAGTGGGTGCCAGTCTGGCAAAAGGAAAACTGCAGAGCATTGCAGATCTGTCATGAGACCTCAGCTGAGGTCATGGTTTAGCTCCAAGAGACAGGTATGGTGACCACCCCAGAGAGGCTGTGAACCAGGCCCAACCCCAAAACCTATTAAGATCCAGGGTCTGGATTATCTTGATTGTTGAAGAACAATTTCTTTTTTGTTTTTTCTTTTTTTCATACTAATTATTGAACTCTTTACTTAACAAAGAGTTAATCATATGTGTATATAATCAATTGAAAATAGATCTCAGTAAAAAATAAGAATGGGAATAAGAGAGGGAGAAGGAAGTTTATAACTGTAAAGCTGTATAGTTCTGCATACATTCCTCCAGACTTACTTCTAAAGCTACAGTTAAAAAAAAAACTTGCCATGGGACTCCAAATCCCATTAAGCTTGGTGGTAAAATGTCATCTTAGTTGTTAAAGTGATCATATTAAGTGTGAAAGTGAACATATAGATAGGATTAAGTGTTAAAGTGATCATAAAAATAGGATCAATTGCTTGGTAATAGTAATAGATAGAATTAAAAAGGAGAGATTGTTCAACATGGGAAGCAGACCACACATCAGACTCAAAAATGACAATCACGTTAAGTAACACTGACTTCAGAATCAGCCCTTAAGGCTTCCTGTATGGCTGAAAAGTCTGTGAGAGCATTTCAGGCTTGGAAAGCCAAGACACTGTGGCAAAAAAAAAATGTTCTACATGAAGAATCTCTGTGAGTGAGACCCCAATGGAAAGAAGTGGCCATCAAATGATGTACTTTTCTCTGAAGGGAGGAGAGAACTTCCACATTGCTATGGCCTTGTCCAAATACTGAAGTAGTCTAGGTAGCTCATGTCAAGAGTCTCGGTGGTCACTGAGGTCATACATAAGAGTGTTAATTGTTGTCTGGCGCCGCGGCTCACTAGGCTAATCCTCCGCCTGCGGTGCCGGCACTCTGAGTTCTAGTCCCGGCAGGGTGCCGGATTCTGTCCCAGTTGCTCCTCTTCCAGTCCAGCTCTCTGCTGTGGCCCAGGAGGGCAGTGGAGGATGGCCCAAATACTTGGGCCCTGCACCCGTATGCGAGACCAGGAGGAAGCACCTGGCTCCTGGCTTTGGATCAGCACAGCGTGCTGGTCGTAGTGGCCATTTGGGGGGTGAACCAAGGGAAGGAAGACCTTTCTCTCTGTCTCACTCACTGTCTAACTATGCCTGGCAAAAAAAAAAAGAGTGTCAATTGTTAAACTGACAACAGAAGTCACTGTACACTAACTCCCTATGCAGGATCTCTATCCTCAATGAGTTGTATTATGAGAATAGCTGTAAAATTAGTTATCAGTTTGTCTGTGGGTGTGTATGCACATTGTTGAAATCTTTCCAGTTGGTCTTCTGTGTACAAAGTTAATTGAAAATAAATCTTAATGGAGAATGGGATTGGGAAGGGGAGAGGGATGAGGGGGAGGGGTGGGAGTATGGGAGGGAGAGCGGGTATGATGGGAAGAATCTTTATATTCCTAAAGTTATACTTATGAAATCTGTATTCCTTAAAAAATTAAAAAAAGAAAAAGAAAAGCGCTGGGGCCTGAGCCACAACCTCCTGAACTGTAAGAGAAGCCACGGGGGCCTGGGTGTTCAGCACAGTGCCTAGGTTCAGAGAGTGATAGGGGTGGGCAGGAAACACACACCGCAGTGCAACCACAATCATTTAATGCTGAGGATGGCCCAAGACTGAGGCCAGCTGGCAACTCCATGGCTGCTGACTGGCTGTGGAGTAAGGAAAAGCATGTGGACAGGACAGCCAGGCCTAGCCCTACTCAGGTTCTGGCTGCTATTGGACACTGAGAATGCCCAGACCCAGGCTGACCCTGGTGACAGGATCTTGGGCCCCTTGGGGATGCCACATCCCCCCCCTTTAGAATCCAGCCTAAACCCACAAGAATGGTTGCCTGCTAATCTGGCAAACTGAAGAGTGGGGAGCATTGTAGATCTATCAAGAGACCTGAGCCAAGTTCATGGTGCAGCTGCGTGAGACCGATGTGGGTGACCACCCCAGGGAGGCTATGCTGTCAAAGAAGCTATAATGCAGGGCGGGAGCCAGGCCCAACACAAAAGCCTAAAGATCTCACACCAGGGACACAGCCTGCAGAACTGTTCGTGAAGCCCTGGTGTTCCAGAGCTTGTCTTAGGAACAGAGAGTGGTGGGGAAAGGGGCGAGAATCACACATACCAGGCTGCACTGGCAAACACTTTGTGGTGGGGACAGCCCAGGACTGAGGATGCAATACAGCTCCAGGGCTGCTGACTGGCTGCAGAATAAGGAAAATGAGGTGTACTGGACAGCCAGGACTAGCCCAACATGGTGTCTGGCTGCCATTTGGCACTATGAATGTCCAGCCCCGGGCTGACCGTGGTGGCAGATTCACAGACCCAGCACCTTAGGCACTACAGGCTCGCAGTGCTTGGCTAAAAGCTATAACCTGCCATGGGCCCTGCTGGAGTCACCAGCCCCAGAAACTTTGCATAAGAGAACTCCAGGGCACACGTGAACTTGTCTGGTTTGCACAAGTGCTGTATCTGGTTCCCTCTCAGAGGGGGCATTCACCTATGTGCTACTCCTGTGACCCCCTCCTGATCAGAAGTAAACAGCCGTTCACATACCAGGCTTGCAGCACCTTGGCCTGGAGGCTTCTAGGCTACACAATGGGATACACAAACAGCCTGTGCCATCACTCAAGCCTGTCTGGATAGGTAGAGTTGCAGAGTTGTGACTTTTTTTCATGGCAGCAACCAGTTCTCTGTGTTCTACTCTCCTGCTTTGTGTCATGTGTATGAACCTTGAGCCCAGCTCAGGGACCTCATAACCCCAGCCCTAGGGTACACACACAAGCCCCAGGGGAGCTAGGCAGGTGACACCTAAGGGATGCCACATTCCCGCCTTTGGATTCTGGCCCAAACTCCACAAGAATGATTCCATGCCAGTCTGGAAAACTGAAGACCCAGGACAATTATGGGTCTATTGGGAGACCTGGGACAAGTTCACAGTTCAGCTCCATTAACAGGTACAGTGACCACCCCCAAGGAGGCTGTGCTGCCACAGAAGCCATAAGGTAGGGGCAGGATCCAGGCCCAACACCAAGGCCTAAAGATCCGGGGTCTGGGCCACAGTTTCCTGAACTTCTAAGGAAGCACTGGGGACCCGGGGGATGGGGGGAGAAGAGTCTGTCCTAGGTTCAGATAGTGGGGGGAACAGATACTGTCCTAGGTTCGGATAGTGGGGGGAACAGACACTGTCCTGGGTTCGGATAGTGGGGGGAACAGACACTGTCCTAGGTTCAGATAGTGGGGGGAACAGACACTGTCCTAGGTTCAGATAGTGGGAGGAACAGATACTGTCCTAGGTTCAGATAGTGGGGGGAACAGACACTGTCCTAGGTGCAGATAGTGGGGGGAACAGACACTGTCCTAGGTTCAGATAGTGGGGGGAACAGACACTGTCCTAGGTGCAGATAGTGGGAGGAACAGACACTGTCCTAGGTGCAGATAGTGGGGGGAACAGACACTGTCCTAGGTTCAGATAGTGGGAGGAACAGACACTGTCCTAGGTGCAGATAGTGGGGGGAACAGACACTGTCCTAGGTTCAGATAGTGGGAGGAACAGACACTGTCCTAGGTGCAGATAGTGGGGGGAACAGACACTGTCCTAGGTTCAGATAGTGGGAGGAACAGACACTGTCCTAGGTTCAGATAGTGGGAGGAACAGATACTGTCCTAGGTTCAGAAGTGGGGGGAGCATGTCCTAGATTGAGAGAAGGGTGTTGGGGAGCTACCACAACACAGGACCCAGAGCTGCACCCACAAACACTTATGATGGGAACAGTAAAGCCTGAGGCCACACAGCAGCTCCAGGACAAAGAAAAAGCACATGGACAGAACAGCAGGGCCTAGAGAGGCATAGGTTCCAGCTGCCATTGGCACAGTGAAAAGTCCACATCTAGGCTGACTCTGATGTTTGGTCTCAGACACAGAGTGGTGTATACCTCTGGTCAGGTTGGGCTCACGGGATAAGCCCATGGAAGAGGGCCCTACAAATAAGGGAAGCAGATACTATGCAAGGTGGAGGGGAACAAGTGCACCTGTGCGAGAAGTTCCCTCATACAGTTTCTGGATTTGGTCACACAAGCAAAGTCAAAGTGGGTAAGAGTTTTAGCCAGCTCTGGGTCTTATGGCTCCCACCATGCTGGGTCCTAGAGCCTGCCACCAGGGTCAGCCTGTGTCTGGACATTTGCAGTGCTAAAAGGCAGCCAGATCCCATGTTGGACTAGACCTTTCATCCTATCCTCCTATCCAGGTGTTCTTCCTCACTCTGCAGCCAGTCAGCAGCCCCAGAACTGCCCTGCATCTTCAAGCCTGAGCCAACCCTACCCCAAAGTGCTTGCAGGTACAGCAAGGTATGTGGTTTCTACCCCACCCCACCCCCCAATCACCACATTTTGACCCAGCACAGGTTCAGGAGGACCCGAGGCCCCAAGACTTCCCTCCCAGCCCAGGAGGCTCTGGACCAGGCCCTGGATCTTTAGGCTTTGGCCTCTGGCCTTGCTCGAGTGGCTGTCTTGTGGCTTCTCTGTCAGCACAGCCTCCCTGGGGTGGTAGCTTGCACCTGTCTCAAGGACATAAACCATGAACCTGGTCCAAGGTAGCTCAAAGCTTTCAGTATTCCCCGGCCTGCACTTTGCCAGACTGCCAGGGATGATTCTTGTGCAAGTGGGCCAGACTCGAAGGAGGGGGTGTGGCATCCCTGAGGTGTCACCTGCTCTGGTGTAGCCTAGGATTGGCATGTGTAGCCTAGGGCTGCGGTTAGGAGTGCTCTGACACCGCTTGGCCCAGGACTCCCAATAGTCGACACAGACCAAGAGAGAAGAATGTAGGTAACTTGTCATGACAAGCAAATTGAGCCTTCTGGGAATGTGTGTTCTGACCCATGTGTGGCAATAAATAACCTAAAGGAAAGATCTGTGAGTGAGATCTTGGTGGAAAGGAGGGGGCATTAAAGAAAGAGGTACCTTTTTCTGAAGGGAAGAGAGGACTTCCACTTTGATTATGGCTTGGTCTAAATAAGGTTGGAGTTTGTGAACTCAAGAGGGTTCCATAGCCTTGGAAGCTCATGACAAGAGCCTCAGGTGATTACTGACATCATAAATAAGAGTGTCAATTGTTATATCAACAACAGGAGTCACTGTGTACTTGTTCCCCATTTAGGACCTCTGTCCTTAATGTGTTGTACTATAAGAATTAACGGTAAAATTGGTCTTAAAACAGTACTTCATACTTTGTATGTCTGTGTGGGTGCAAACTCTTGAAATCTTTACTTAATATAGAGGTGATCTTCTGTATATAAAGATAATTAAAAATGAATCTTAATCAAGAACAGGATGTGGGAGGGAGTAGGAGGTGGGATGGTTTGTGGGTGGGAGGGCTGGTATGGCAGGAAGAACCACTATAATCCAAAAGCTGTACTTATTAAAATTTATATTTATTTAATAAAAGATTTCTATTAAAAAAAAAACAAAGAATGAGTAAAAATGATTATTTCACTGATTAATTGTGCCAATTTTAAAAGAACTGATACCATGGACCAGCATTTTAACATTCAGAATAAGGCTGACCCTGTGATGTTTACATCCCATGTGGGCGCTGGTTCAAGCCCTGGCTACTTCACTTCCAATCCAAACCTGGAAAAAGCAGCAGAAGATGGCCCAAGTGCTTGGGCCCCCTGATACCCATGTGGGAGACCTGAATGAATCTCCTGGCATTGACTTGGGCCAGCCCTGGTTGTTGAGGTCTCTTGGGGAATGAACCATTGGATGGAAGATCTCTCTTTCTTTTCCTCTATTTCAGTAACTATGACTTTCAAAAAAGTCAATCATTTTTTAAAAAGATGATTTATTTATTTATCTGAAAAACAGATTTACAGAGAGGCTGAGAGAGAGAATGAGAGCAAGAAAGAGAGAGAGATCTTCTACGCACTAGATCACTCCCCAGATGGCCACAATGGCCATAGCTGACCCAAGCAAAAGCCAAGACCCAGGAGTTTTCTCTATGTCTGGCAAGTGGACTCAGGAACTCAAACACCTGGGTCATCCTTCACTGCTGCATTCCCAGGCACATTAGCAGGGAGCTGGATTGTAAATGGAGTAACAGGGACTCGAACTGGCACCCATATGGGGTGCTAGCATTGCAGGCAACCCACTATGCCAAGATGCTGGCACAAAGCAAATGTTTTAAATTAAAAAATTAAAAAAGACAGTGGATTTAAATAAGCAGCTGCTTCTGACATGTTTTGCATAATGTGGGGTTTTCATATACTTTCTTAGTAATCTCATGAAGACACAACTGCATGAATGGGATTTGGAGGAAAAGCAAATTTTGCAAATATATGACAGAGAAATATGATTCAAAATTTCAGAAAGGAGAGAGAGAGAGAGAAATCTTCCACCCACTGATGCACTCTCCAAATGCTTGCAAAAGCCAAGGCTGGGCCAGACTGAAGCCAGATTCCTGGAACTCAATAAAGGTCTTCATGTGGGTGGTAGAAACACAAGTACTTAATACATTATCTTCTGCCTTCTGAGGGTGTGCATTCTCAGGAAGCAGCAATCAGAAGTGGAACCAGGAGTCAAACCAGGAACCTCGACATTGGAGGCAGGAGTCCAGGGGGCATCTGATCTGCTGTGCCACATGCCCACCCTCAAAACATCACTTGCAAATCTGCATTTTACAGATGCAGAAACCAAGGCACACAGAGGCCAAGCCCATGTCCAGGATCACAGAGCACTTGCAAAGCAGAGCTGGGATTGCAATCCATGCAACCTGGCCATGGAGTCCATTCTCTGGACCAGTGATAACAAGACTCTCACCATCTTCTCTGAGATGCCCAAAGTCTCTTGGCTCCCTCCTCACTGAGTTTGTGAGTCTGTGCTCCACCCTGCCAGGGGCATTTGACCCTCAAATCTGGCCAACTTCCACTCTCCGACCAGACTCCAGTCTTCTCTGACTCCCCAAGTCCAGGGTAGATGTCTTCTCTTGGGTGTGTCTGTGTCATCCTTTCCTTCCTTCCCAGGTCATTTGTTTGAGGCAGCCCCACAGGGTGGCCCCAGCACAGCAGGGGTGCTCAGTGCCACTGTTGTTATTTTCATTACCAGAGTGGCCTCATCACCTAATGTGTTTCAGAGGAACACTCAGAGAATTTAATCAAGAAAAATTTCCTTGACTCCCTTTGTAATAGAGACTGCACCACATATAGGTGGGGTTCTAAGAATTTGGTCCTGAGGGTAGCAAGAGTGACTGATTTTATAGCAAACTGTAGTCAATTCTTATAAAATACTATTTTACTAGTGGGATCTTATCTGATGATTCTCTGAGATGTTTCTGTCACCTTCAATGAAGGTCATACATGACGATTTGTCTCTTTAGTACCTCATAATGCAAGTTATCCATTATTACTGTAGGCAATTAAAAGAAAGAATAGTTTAGAAAGAATGTAGCCCAAATTTTTAACCCACAGAGAAACACCATGAGCATCTTGGTATATGCATTCCTGATGTGTTTTCAGGTTTGCCTATCAATCCATCTATCTATTTCTGTTTGCAATTTTTAAATTTTTAAAACAATACACTGTATGTATTGTTTTAAAACTTTTTCTTTTCATTGCTGACTTATTTCCTTCAGCTTAATATCTTCTAGATTCTTTCATGTTGTAGCTTGTTTGAAAATTTTATTCCCTTTAAAGGTGAATAATATCACAATGTATGTGTGTATCAAATTTTGTTGATCTGTGCCTCTGCTTGGTAGACCTCTGAATTGCTTCTGACAATTGGTTGCTTTGCTGCTATGAAGATGGAATTCCAAATAACTCTTCAAGACCCTGCCTTTGTTTCCACGGTATACATGCCCAGGTGTGATATTGCTGGATCACAATGAGGTTATACCTCCAATTTTTAAAATGCATCCCCATACCCTTTTCTATAACAGTGCACTGTTTTGTAATTTCACAGAAGCCCAAAGGTTCCAACTATTTCAAGGGTCATCAACCTATTGTTTTTTTTAAATATAGACATTTTATGTAATAAAAAAAAAAGGTTTACTGATGTATTTGAATAGCAAATTTATAAAGAGGATGGAGAGACAGATCTTTCAGCTACTGGTTCACTCCAACCTAATGTCCACAGGGGCCAGCGATGGTCCAGGTCAAAGCCAGGTGCCAGGAACTCCATCTGGGTCTTCCCCATGGGTTGATCATCTTCCACTGCTTTCCCAGATGTGTTAGCAGGGAACTGGATCAGCAGCAAAGCAGTCAGGACTTGAACTGGCTCTTCAGTGAGGAAAGACAACGTTGCAAGCAGCAACTTAACCCAGTGCACCACCATGTGGCACCTAAACATATTCATTCTAAAGAAGTATAAAATCGTGGGTTTTTCTTTTTTCTTATTTTTATTAATATAAAGAGAACATATTTCATAGATACAGTCCTAAGAAGAGAACCATACTTCCCTCCCTCACCTCTCCTTCCTTCCTACAATATCCCTCCTTCCCCTCTTTTTTTCTTTTCACTAATTCTGACTTGTATTTTCCTCATGATTAGTAATGTTGAACATTTTTTCATTTGCTTATTGGTCATTTGTATATCATCTTTTTTAAAAAGCATTTATTTTATTTCTTTGAAAGGCAGTAAGAGAGAGAGAGAGAGAGAGGTATAGACAGAGACAGAGAGATCTTCCATTCACTGGTTCACTCCCCAAATGGTGGCAATGGCCAGAG